TTTGCATTTTTGCCAAGAAAGGGGTTTTGTTTGTTTGTTTGTTTGGTTGGTTTTTTTTTTTTTTTTTGAGAGGTTTTTGATAGGGCTATAGGGCGTGTGCGCTCGCCAGACAGACAGAGAGAGACAAAGAGACAGAAAGCGAGAAATCACCCCCCAGGGGGGATGGCCACGCCGCAGTCCCATCTCCTCCATTCTCCTCTCGGGATCTTGGGCACGCGCACACACACGCCCGGCGTGCATTTAAGCTGCCGGGTCCAGGACGCGAACCACAGTCAACTACTTGGGAGTCCAGCGACATAGCCATTATGCTAACCGCTGGTCCCGCCAATAAAGGGCTTTTAAATTAAGATAAAATATATATAGTTTTTTGGGGGACCAGCAGGTGGCATGGTGGTTAAGGCACTGGACACTCCCACATGACCTACCACAGTTCAAGTCCCGGACCTGGTGTCTTGCTTTCTTACTTTCCCTCTCTACCTCTCACTCTGTGTCTGTCTCTGATCAAATAAAGATAAATGAATGAATAAGTAAAATTAAATAAATAATTTGAAAAGATAAATAATAGTTTTTAGACATGATGCTATTGCACACTTTATAGACTGTAGTATAGTGTAAGTATAACTTTAAGAATTATTTTATTTAACTTTTTATGTATTTATTTTTAATTTGACCAAAGAGGAACAGAGCAAGAGAGAGAGAGAAAGTGCAAGAGAGAAAGCAAGGCGCCAGGTCTGGGACTTGAACCATGGTCAGCCATGTGGGAGTCCAGTGTCCTCAACACCCTGCCCAATGTAACTTTCATATATGCACTGAGAAACCCCCAGGTTTTTGTGACTCAGCATTAACGTGATGCTACCTTTACTTCATTGTGGTGGTCTGGGTCTGGACAGGCAGTATGTCCGAGGCATGCCGTACAGACCCAGGGCTCCTACTCTGCTGTCTTTTTCTTTTTAAATAAAAACAATCCGCAGCATTTATTGCCACTAGTAATAACATAAGGGGAATCCAAACAATATGGACAAATTGTTAGAACTACACTCTCCACGAAGTTCTCGTTTCTCGTTTCTAATTGAAGACACTTTGTAGCAGAGTTCTATTATCTCCTTCTAACATGATCGACCAGTTGTTTTCTTGACTTTGTTTTAGAATGACTCTCCTCTGCATAACACGTGGTTCATATACTCATCCAAACCAATGACGCAGCCTTCTCTCTGCACATTCAGTTGCTCATAGAGTCACGCCTGAATGCGGGTCTATTCTGCAAGAGTCTGAAGGTGAGGTTGGTGGGCTGCACCATCACCTGCACTTACTGGCCCTGGCCTCCGTACGCCATGGTGGCATCTCACCTCTGCTGTCTTTCTTCCCAGCTTCCTGAGCCTTCTGATACACACATATAAACCATGCCGCAGCTGAGCTCAAAGATAAACAAAAGGCAGCAAAGAGGTTTCAGTGAATCCTGGGGTTTGTCTGTAGGGATTGTACCTAGCACAGTCTCTACCTGCAGGGATTAGTGGAGGGACCAGGTAGCTAACACAGGGACCGTCTAGACAGCTAGGCCTCCCATTACCATCCAAGACATGCGCACAAACACGCACACACCTTTTTCTTGAATACTAGCCACACTAAGGTTTTAACAGCATTAGACAACAAAAGGGGTCAGCAGGTGGTGTGGTGGTTAAGGCACTGTGTGGGAAGCTGCACACCAGCGAGTCTGCCGAGGTTTCTCAGAGAGCAAACAATTACCATGATTGGTTCCCTTCCAAAAACCTGACCTTCGAAACCTTGCTCTGATTGGCCACTAGAATCCCTCAAATTTGCATATCCGGCACCTCATGATTGGTCCAAAAGCAACCAATCATAACCCACCATTAACAACCAATCAGGGCCCAC